TTTGAAAATGATGAAAGATATGTCTGATTTGGCAGGGTAATGTCACAGCCAAATGGCAATCACTCTTTCTGACACAGTCCGGATCGAAAGATGACGATACTCGTGAAATGTATTATCTAAATATAGGATCGTTTCGAACATCCCTACTGTCAAGATGTATAACCCGAGGTACCGACGGAGCTATTTTGCGGCGTCATGGAAATAATTTTAAATTGTCATTTGCATTTTTTCAAGCGTTGTGCAATGATTTTGGGAAAAACGTCACGAATAGTCTTATAAAGCATAGTAGAGTATATTTCAACAGTTGGCGGAACTTACTCCACTGGGACCAGGAGGGTGAAACGAGATATTAATGCGCAATATGGCAACCCTGTCTCAACCTCACAAAATGGCCGCTGACAACCACACAAGTCACCGTGTTGTCATTGAATAGGAAGGAATTAAACCTTCAGAGTACATGTTTTGTGGCTGGTACCACGAGTTGACAGATCCCACACATGTGTCACTCCTTGAAATGCAATAATCAGCTGTATTCAAATAATGTCTAATATAAATATAACCTAGAATGTGTACTCGTGAAAAAAGAAAAATATGGCAAATTTGTAGTTTTTTTTGCAGGTTTTAGGTTTGCTGGTAGCTTTAAGGCATATATTTGGGAATTTCTTAATCGCTGTGAGTATAGTGTGGATGTTTGTTCAGTTCCTGATCAACGAAAAATGTTCAACTTTATGAAAGTATGGATATCAAAAAACCCGAATGAAAGTAAATGAATGAATGTTAGGAAACGAGCAATATGTTTTGGTAGAGCCTGTCATCAAGTAGGTGCTTAATGGCTATCTGCAAGAGGTTTATAGGAAAAAACACCCAATATCACATATCATTTGAAGAAAATAATAAACAAGACTAAAAAATCAACAATAGTAATTAAAACATGAATTTAATTCAAAAATCAAACATTTCTTAAAATTTCGACTGTATTATATGTATTTTCTTAATATTCAATAAGCTGGTGATGTTTCAATGACAAGTTGCCATCTCATACTTTGACAGTATTTTGTTTTCAATATTTCATAGCAATTGGTTGCTAAAACTTGTTGATTGGAACTTGAAGCTCATTCGCTGTATCTGACGGTCGGTTACCCTATAGGTGGAAAATAACGGACTGTTGTTGGTGAAGTTGGCCCTTACAAGATAAAAACACAACATAACGTGAACTGCCCGTTTAGTGGAAAACAGCCTTTAGACCTCGATCCGATAGAATGAACGTTGTTCTACGTTCTGCAAACATTAATCGGTCGCGGTGTGTAACTAGTTGCATATGTTTGATCGCAATTGTTTTCATTCGGATCCTCCCAGGTTTATCGATCCGAATAGTATTCCAGTGTTGCCGAGTCCGATGAATATTACTTGTGATCAAGAAATACACCGTTTTTACAACGGTGCAACAAATATCTGCATCTAAAGTTTTGATAAGTACAGTATATTCATCATGCCCAGAAGATAATGATAATAGTAATAATGTTAATAATAAGCACACTCAGAGCAAACGTAATTAAAACAGACACCAAGGCTGCAAAGTATCAAGACATTGCCATTGAAATCAAAGATATAAATCTCCACTCACACAGAATATGAATGTTCCAGCGCAAACATGTCACATAGTTCGCAAGTTCTTCGCAATAGGCTGAGGTGAATTCCTCCTCTATCATGTATATACCCCGTGTGTTATGGTGAAAGACCAACCAAAAACAAATAATAATAATAGGTCTTTATTGGAATATAAATGTATATAACATCTTATTTCTGATAGGCGGAATCTAAATAAATCTATTCCACTCAACCTACTACAATAACAATATCGGAAACTAAAAATAAACTGAATCAATCTGCCAAAGTCACGCTAACGATGTAGATAAAGTTGTGTGGCTTGTTTTTTCAGAATATTCGCCGACATAGTTTTCAAATGTTTACTTGAATCATTGTATATTTCAGTAGAGTTATAAATAAACGAACGGCTGAAAAATGTACTACTGTAAGGAGTGATTTCTAGGTGATTCTTGAATCTGATGCTGAAATCCGTCCTACTACGGCGAGCTACAAACTTTTTAAGCTTCGTCCACACACAACCAACCCAGCTCACGACTGTAACATGAAATACGATCATACCTTTTTAAACTAAAAACAAACCTACAACTGTTATGCAGCATCGAGGCGATGATTTTTGATCAAGTAACACGAGAAAAATACGATTTTGGGCCGAACGACCTCACAGTCGTTTTAAAGATTTTCTTAAAGTTACCAACACAATTTTTTTCAGTTTACTTGATGTTTTCAAATATAGAAAATGGTCTCTTAGAAACAGCCGACGAGCCACCCCTTTCTACTGGAAAAATTTAAGTAAAATGGAAAAATTAGTGCTTGTAACTTTTAGAGAATCTTTAAAATGACTGTCAGGTCGTTCGTCTCAACCAAGCCCTGTCTGAAGTCAACTGGCCTGCTTTGCTTAACAACCGTAGCACCCAAGATATGCGGGACACTTTCGCTTAACGAGTCCTAAGCGAAACGGATGACAATATTGTTGAAAAGAAGGTATACTGTGACCCCTCAAAGCCCTGGATCAACTCTAACATATCGAGGATGCTTCGTCACAAGAGATCTTTGTGGCAACGGTTTAGGAGGAGTGGCCATTCACAAGATTACGTGTCTCATCGATCCTTTTCTAACCTCCTATCTAGAACGTTACATAATGCCAAACATGCTTATGAACGAAAACTCGTTATCTCCAAAAATAAGAAGAAGCTGTTTCGGTATCTAAGAACAAACCTGAATTCCAAAGTTTCATCACCTCAGATCCGCGACGCTGACGGTCATCTCCACATGGATGCCACCGAATCTGCCAACTTACTGGCAGAGTCCTTTAGTGATGACTTCGTCGATGAGCCTAATGGAGACCTTCTACCGACCACTATCTGCCATAGGTGTCCCAACACCCTTTGCGAAGTTGAGTTCCTGCCTGAAGAGGTATTAATGCACCTGCGAAATCTGAAGACCTCTTCCTCCCCTGGTAAAGATGGGATGACGGCTGCTGTACTTAAAAACTGCGCTTGAGCATTGGCCCTACCATTAAGCTTGATATTCACATCGTCTTTTAGATCCCATACCTTACCCTCATGCTGGCTTAGTGCTTCTGTTACCCCTGTATTCAAAAAGGGCGACAAATCCTTCGCTAAAAATTATCGACCAATAAGTCTCGTTCCTATCGCCGCCAAAATAGCTGAAAGAATCATATTAGATAAGCTCCTGTCATTTGCTTTCGAAAATGACCTTATCCCTAAGAATCAGCATGGATTTCTCCCTGGTCAATCAAGTATGACCATCCTTCTTCACTCTCTCAACGATTGGACTCAGTATCTGGACACAAAGACTCCTGTTGATATAATCTACTTAGATTTTTCTAGGACTTTCGATCGCGTACCACATAGAAGGCTTCTGTTTAAGTTGGAATGTATGGGAATAAGAGGCGAGTTGTTACTGTGGATGAAGGCTTTTCTCACCGGGAGGACTTTCTCTGTGCGCGTCAGTGATAGCCAGTCTCACCTTCATCATGTAGCAAGTGGAGTTCCTCAAGGCTCTGTCTTGGGGCCAGTGCTGTTCCTTCTGTATACAAGTGACCTGCCCGCATTGATTTCCTCCACATGTTCAGCTTATGCCGACGACACCAAGATTTACAATACTGACGTAAATTCTGCTATGCTTCAACGAGATCTTGATATTGTTTGTCAATGGTCAGTCAGTTGGCTTTTACCCTTAAATCTAACTAAGTGTTGTGTCCTTCACCTCGGGAAGACAAATCCGTGATTTAAATACAGGATCTCTGACCACAACATCGAAGCAGTTTCCAGCCACACTGATCTGGGCGTTGTAGTCAACGATCGTCTTTCCTGGTCAGAGCATATTCACCACGTTACATCAAAAGCCAAGAAACTTCTATACATGCTGGAGAGGTCTTTCAAACGATCCGATGTCAACACTTGCGCCTACATTTACAAGGCATTCGTGAGGCCAATTCTTGAATTCGCTGGCCCGGTATGGGACACTGTGCTTCTGCGCGATAGAAATCTCGTCGAATCAGTACAGCGTCGAGCTACTCGTATCCCTTTTTGGAGCACGAAGACCAAGCTATGAAGATCGCCTTGAATTATTCAACCTGACCTCATTCTCCGAGCGAAGACTTCGTGGCGATCTTATAGTTACGTTCAGGATACTTCATGGTTTGATGGGCACCAACCTCATGCATCTATACTGTCTGTCGCGCAGCAATCTACGCGGACACAGCTTCAAACTGCATAAGGAGCCATTTAAAACAACAGTCCGACAGTGGTTTCTTCCCAACCGCATATTCAACACCTGGAATAGTTTACTTGAAAGTGTGGTTGGTGCTACTTCAGTTAATAGCTTCAAAGTGCAGTATGATAGCTGGAGGAATGTACAAACTTTATAGCTATGAACTGACTTTTTTTATTTTTTTCTATTTGATGTATTTGTGTTACGTGTCCGTACACTATATTTACTGCATGAGCTTATAGTACTGTGTACTCTGCTCATCTCAATTATCATAATAATAATAATAATAATAATAACATCGTATTTTTTCCGAGTTACTTGATCAAAAATGAAGCGACGTGCAGGATATACCTATGGCATTCTAGATCGAAAAATAAAAATTGACATAAGAATGACTTTATTTTCCAAATATTGACAAACGAGGCGTAGTTGAGTTATAGATAGACTACGTATAATTTATTAATTTTTTAGCCTAATTTTTGGTTCCAGCTCTTTTTCGATAAAAAAGCCGGAAATATCTGATTATCTTAAAAATCGTGGAAAATGAGGACGTTTTCGGTATTTGGATAAATAAGGTTATTCGTTAGAAATACCGCAAAATCGGTAGGTTCGGCAACACCGACCATACCCCAGAATGACAATCAAAAAACGCGTTTGCAGGCGATAGTGGAGACTGAATTCTGAAAGCATAAAGGAATTCTGGCATCTCGACGCGGCAACAATGTAAAATTCAAGTTTGTATACATGGGAAGCTAACTGTCAGAAGAAAAATTCCTGTTAGTCGCGTGGCAACGGATACGTGGTGTGGATTTCATAGTTGCTCTTTCAAAGCCGCAAGATGGCCCAACTGATTGGAGGGATAGAAGGGTAAGTATGTATTACACGCCAAATATAGTGAACCACATTTTTTTTTAGAGTGGATTCTCTTATAATCGTAACATAATCATAGCGGTTTTAATAACATATTGTTTTTAGATAAATTGGCAGATCATGACCGTAGCATTTTTGTTTGAAAAATATTCGCGGTATTTCCCTAGCACACGATGTTTTTTATCCTTAAGAATAATTTTGGCAACAACTAGCATTCAAAGGATAGTTTTGGAACTGCTCGCAAATATAACGCTTATTATAGAGTTAAGTATATTTGTTACACGATTAATAATTCTTAGTATTTTTGCAATAAATAGGTACTCGTAAATTGGTGGACATGTGTTTTGCAACATGGAAAATTTTACCCATATTCAAGTCTCAATATTTTCGGAACGGAACGAGATATCGAGTTGCAGTTTTCAGGAGGTTCTTGACCAACTCTTTGAGAACACGCACAAGTTTCGATCAGTATAGTTCTTACATTTAACCACTTATACAGGGTGAGCAAAGGAAGTCATGTTTTTTTTAGCAAAGTTTGGGTCTGTCAGATTCCCAATTTTTGATCTGGGAAATTGTTCTATGCATCTTTTTGATCTTTGGACTATCCTTAAAAAAGTGAAATCTCAAACTTTTCGAAAGTTGGCTATAAATTATAGAATTTTAAAAAAGTGTTGCATTTATATCTAAAAAAGGGGTTTCTCTTAAGAGTAGGTATATTTTCCCATACTTTTGCATAAAGTGGAATTTCTTAAGGCCGAAAAAAGATTGAAGCATACATTGAACGTTACTGCCTCTAGTGGCATGCAGTAAAAATTTGCTACTTTGACATTATGTAATTTAAACCGAATTTATAAATTTTACTATGCAATTAGACAGCTTAATGAACAAATCCAAGTTATTGCTCTTAATATATTGGTGTATTCCAAAAAAGATGGAAGCAGGAAGGAACGAAGTGATTTATTACTGACATTATTAAAATAATGTGCCCACAGGGTCTACTATAATGGGTTATATTAGAAGTTTTCGCTATTAAAAGCAAAGCTACACATCACATTTTTGTAATATCGTATTTTTGACACTGTTACACACATGAATCATAGGTAAACTTTGGATGGATCTCCTTCATCAATTACACCTCGACCTGAGCTCCTGTATAAAAAAAAATGGATTCCAAATATGCTGGAATAATATGACTAACCTAAAATCATTAGGAAGGCATAGGGACATTTACTTCCTTTATTTTGCAACCAGGCAGGCAGCACCAACTTGTCATAGTGAATTGCACTGTACACATCAGCCACGTGACCCACTTCCGCCAGGTAGTTATAGTACAGGAAAAATCTTCGTATCTACTGAGAAAAATATTTTGATTGTTTTTCAGGGTGGAAAAGAAAAACGTTTTTTTGTTTAAAACATTCAAATTTAGCTGAAAGAAAACATGTTTAAACACTGTTAATACATGTTTAAAACAGTAAAAAAAATAAAAAACTATTGACTATATAATCTAGCAACGTTAATGAAGTTCGTTGCAAGTGTCATTACTATTTTTGATCCAGCTCTATCAGAGCAAATCTCTCTCTCTGCGTTCTCCAGCAGTCAAATGTGCGAAGTCGTAGCGTGGTGGTGTTTTTTGTGCATTAAAGATCGGCAAAAAAAGAAAGGCAATGACAGGGAGGAGAAAGGATCTCGTGTGGAAATATTTGAAGGGGACTGATGCCAAAACTGGCTCGAAAATAAATAAAAGAGCAAAATGTTTAACCTGCAATTTGGATATAGTCCCACTGGTGGCTGGAATGCGCAAGCATATTAAAAATTGTAAACAACTTAAACAAGGAAGTTTGTTAGAAAAACAAAATATTCATATTATTATTATTAATATTATTATTAGATATAATTAGACTTTGAAGTTGAGTCATTTATTTTAACAGTGAGTAGATCTGATCAAAAGAAATGTTTTTTTCCTTTAACATTTTTGTGGTAAAATTAAAGTAACAAAGTTATAGCCCTTTAGAAGTTTGAGTACCGCCCTGTCTCAATAATAATATTATGTGCTCGTGCTTGGCAACAACGGATATAATCCGCCTTATCGGTTCATCGCATCGAAAACAAAAAAGCGAAAGAATTTGAAACGCTGATCACGATGTTTTTATTCAGTCAATGTGTCAGTCGGTAACGCGTGAGTGAATAGTGGTGCTTGCTGCGTGGCTCAAACGAAATAAAAAATGGCACATGTTTATGCGGATCGGTTTCCCAATCGAGTGCAACCAACCCCTCGTGACTTTGTTAATGTAGTACAACGGGCTTGTGAATCAGGTGACTTAAGACCTCGCAGGGGAGGGCATGCCGGTGCTCCAAGACCTCACGATCAAATACAGGTCCGCACTGAAATACTTGTTGGGAGGATACTTTATAAAACAAGGTAAATTTATTTTTTTATTTTTACACACATATTTTGGTTTATCTTCCTTCTACAATCATTATCTGAAAATTAATGACTCAACTTCAAAGTATATCAGATAGTTCTGATACCGATAATGATGGTGTTTTCTACCGAACCTATCTCCGCAAAGTTAAGTAGCTTGGAGAATTGTGAAAATGGTACATTTTTTTACTTCAAGTTCCGTAAAAAAAAAGTAGTGAAAACTAAAAGTTTATCCTATGTACATTTTCCATGATTTTATATTTAAAAAATATAGATTTGAGGATTTTTTGATTTTTTTTAAATAAGATGGGTTCTATACTTACTATATACAGAAATTTGTTAAGTAACTTATTTAATGTTATTATACAAGTAAAGACATAGTCATATTATATGATTATTGTGCTGAATATAGTCATATTACTCGTTCGTTAAGAAACAGATTTTTTTCCACTAGTATTACCCCCCTACTTCCATGTTTGATTAATTAATAAAAAATAAAGTATATTTTTCAGTACCTATATGTTTTAACCTATGGCCCTTTGAGTTTCGTTTTGCAAAATAAAATCGAATTTAATCATACTTAAAAACATATGAAAAAAACTTGAATAATTCAAAAAAGAGTGTTGGTTTAAAACACCTTCATTGTTTTGTACAGTCTTTAAAACGCTTGTTTTAAAATTTTGATTAAAACATAACAACCTTGACCGCCTTTAATGAATTTGCATTTTGCCAGATCTAAAATTGCGTCAAAAATTGTCTTCTCTTTCTTATTAAGGTTGTGCGTAAAATCTAATAAGAATATTTTTCCGAGTAGATGTGAAGACTCTTCCTGGACCATTACCGCAGGTAAAGAATGTGTGACCGCATCCAAATGGCAGGTAGCATTTCAGTCACCAGAGCAGTGTTGCTAAGCTTACCGATTTTTCGGTATTTCTACTGAAACGAGTCCTTATCTACCGAAATACCGCATGCGTCCACGTTTTCCAAGATTTTTTGAAATAATTTAGAACGGTCTTAACGAACCTACCGATTACCGAAATGAGTACCTTTAGACCATTTACCTGCTGGGCGCCAGAAATCCTAGATGCGCCACTGGATAGTACAGATAGTATCGTTTTTCGATGAACATGTAGTATTACATACTTGGCTATTCTTACACCGGCAAAAATTATGCTGGGTATGCATACTAGTCAACTTCATATAATATAACAAAGTTACAGTGTCTTCAAGTGGTTGTAATGATATCAATTTATCAATCAAATTCTAGCATGCATACATACGCTCTTTATGTTAGCGGCTCATCTGATTGAAAAATTACTGCATTCCTCATCTGAGATCACAACAAATTTGACCTCAGTTATACAGGGTGACCCAACGAAGAGGTCGCACCCCCACTTCTGTCTCTCCTGATATATATATATATATATATATATATAACTTGAGACGTGGTCATTGTCGTCTAGACCAGTTAGGTGAAAAATTAAAGCTTCCGCCTTTTGTTGGGTACTTCGACAAGATTTAAGCAAAGAGGACTCTTTATACTTTTTTTAATTCTCTCTAGCTTTCAATGGACTTTGCCATCATCATCAGGAGCTGCAATTACAATGATAACAGTAGCAACAAAGGTGTAAAATGAATTTAAATTGACTCAACTTACAGTAGTATGTGAGGATGTTGCTAATTGTTGTTTACGTATAAGATGAGGGAAACGTCCAGTAACATGGTGAGAGCTGAATAGATTGCACAATAGTCAAAATTTATACAAAACATGACAAGAACAAGTTAAAAACAGATTAAAAATTATTTAAAAAATTTTTAAACATTACATCGTGAAACCACCTGATGATTGCACAAATTAGTGGTCATGGAATGATGAATTGATGAGTGACATGAAACCCTTTGACAGAAGGCCGAAGGATGTCAATGTCAGTATTGAAAGATGGAACGAATTGTGGGCGTGTGCCAAAACGTTGCCAAATCACTTAGATGATGAGATTTTTAGAATTTTATGTTAGAATTTGTTAAACCGACCAGAGGCAGTTGAATAAACTATATTATTATTAATGGGAATTTAAATTGACAATTATTAATAAATCGTGAGGAGAGAGTTATTATATTTAGAGTGGAATGAATTTTACTGGTGGAAACGGCCAAAACACAGATTCTAATTATGGTTGTGAAGAGTTGAAATTTGGGGAGATATGTAAGTTCTCCAATTTTTCGCAGTTTAGCAAATATGAGTAAATGACACTCAGTTGTTTAACATCTGTCTTTTTGTTGATACAGTTGTTAGAAAAACACCTTTCCAAACGTTTATTCCTGGAAATGTCCCACATTTTCATGAATAACAACTGTATCAACAAAAAGACAGATGTTAAACAACTGAGTGTCATTTACTCATATTTGCTAAACTGCGAAAAATTGGAGAACTTACATATCTCCCCAAATTTCAACTCTTCACAACCATAATTAGAATCTGTGTTTTGGCCGTTTCCACCAGTAAAATTCATTCCACTCTAAATATAATAACTCTCTCCTCACGATTTATTAATAATTGTCAATTTAAATTCCCATT